GAACTCTAAATGTCATATCTGCAGAGTAACTGTGCATACATTTTGTCCAGCAGGGTCCAGTTACTTTTAGGCTCCATTTTTAAAAACCTGTTACGGTGGAGGGTGAAGTCACTGAAGTTGATAGCTTTCTGAAATTAGCGGGATGTCAGGTCTTTATCAGTAGTGGCCCCCATAAGTTAAAGTTACGTGAATAAAGTACTTGATTTTGCTTTCATCATAAGATGATTAGGTGTTTTTTTAACTATATATGATTTGCGTGGAAGTGTTGTTTTTTTTGTATTTTTTTTCCTGGATATGAGGAATATCTAAAAATTTATTCAGATGAAAGTGCGGGTAAAAATAAAATAAAAAATAGTATAAACCTAACCTAAATTATACCAAAGTACGCTCTACCTGTATCGTTTCTTGTCAAGCCTTCCCTCTGTTTTAACTCATTTTGGTGATAATCAATTTTTTAAAGCTTGACCTAATAAAAACAGCTAGAACTAATTAGGCTACTTTTATAAGGTTTTCGAAGAAAAATGCATAAGTGAAGAAGTAGTAAACAAGGAGCAATATCTTCTCGGTTGTCAATAGTGAGCAGCTGTATTTTCATGATCCCACGCCAGCGTTTGTTAGAGACGAGATAAAGTGTTAGAGAGTTTGCACAGTTAGCAGTTAACGAATTAAGAATAGTTAACAAAAGGTAATGTTAAATCCAGATTGGGTGTGCACGTGTATCATTGTTGAAATGTTCACGTTACACATGGATTGAAGCTTTCACAGTTCGGGTGCTCGTGTTTTCATAAAATTCTATAGTCCTTAAGGATTCAACAGTATTCTTACTCAAAAGCAATAAACCGCCTAAAAATAAATAAATAGCTAACAAATATATTTTATGGTAATTAAAAAAAAAAATTCAAAAGCATATTGGTATTTTTTCACTGATTTTATGGACAACACCCTCTTTGTCTATCTTTTTGTCTTCTCTCCCCCTCTTCCTAAAAGTCACATGGAAAGATTCTAGTATAATATTCAATGTGTTGTCCGAAAAGGCAAATGGAATAGTAGGGGTAATCCATAAAAACAAAGCAGTATCAACGTGTTTACTATAGTACATATTGACATTCAGTTTACTCTTAAGTTTCAGGATGAGTCCGATAAAATGAAGCTTTAGAAATAATGGCTTAGAAAGGTATTTAAATGTAAGGCTAGTTGCTAGGAACTTTATATATTCACACATAAAATATAAAGTGGATAAATGTTAATGTAATTTGAAATACTCGTTCCATGTACAGTTTTTTTACTTTCGTAAACCATGAAATAGTGTTATACTACATGAAAGTTACAATGCTAGCCTACTCAGGAACCTGAGGTATCTACGTTATCAGTTTTGTTTTGTTTTAAAAAAGCGATCTTGGTGTTCAAACAACAGATTCAATAAAGTCTTTGAAATCTTTTTGGTATATGAAATATGTATATTTGGGAAAATTTTTTTGTAAAGTTTTGCATAGCTGATGTCACTGTGCAGAGGATACAAGTTTTAGAGAAACCGCACAAGATTTGTAAAATATAACATATTTTCATGTTTTCTGTTCTCACAAAAGGATCTGGAGACTGGAGCTTTGCCAGAACAGCTGAAGGAAAGAGGTCTAGGTTTTAACTCGTATGATTGCTTGGCTTTTATGCAACCGAATGTTTTTTATTAATAAATATGTAATACAGTGTGCCACTGCTTGTTCTGATACTTAATCAGGACCAAGGACATACACACACAGATGACTCCATGAATAGCTTCGCCCGGGTAATCAAGCAAAGCACGTGGTTTAATTTTTACTTCTCGAGTTGCAAAGAATGCATTTGACGATTGTCATTAGGTCACAGTGTATGCACGTGGAATAGCAAGAGTATATACATTAAAGTACAGTGATAGAATATAATAGTTGGCATATTATAAGTTAACATAGAATGAAAAAGATTGAACACATATCCATACATGACACACTGTACAGTGTTCCACAGTAATAGTTTCCTATCATGAGAACCCGTATCTATTTTTGATATACCTGGACATGATACTTTTAACACATAGGTACAATGTACGTATATATATGAATGACATTGGAAACTATAAATGTATGTTTGTTAGACACTATTTCTCGCCAAAAATCCATGTTCCCATTAAAAGACACGTTACATTATTAATTAAAACAACTGTGATAGGTTCTCTTTTTTTGTCTAAATTAAACTAAATAATGATTCATTTTGTCTTTTTTTTTTGTCAATGAATTTCCCCGTTTCAAGAACAAATTCAATTTCCCTTTCAGGAAGTGCTTGTGTTTGTACCTCTGAATGGAAAAACAAAATAAATTTCGTCATTCTTGATAGGCATTGTTTTGATTGCACTTTTTATGTCTTAGTTTCGAGGTGTGTTCGTAAATCTCTGGTTAATTATGTGTGAATATATTTTACTTATGATATTTAGGAGTATTTTACACTTTGCAGCACTAGTTAAGTGTAATTCATGCGTATTTTCTATATAATGTTAATTGTCTGACTGCACCCACATGACTGCATAAAGAACACCATAATTAAGGTAGATGGGTAAATCAAAAGGATTGCACACATCTCGAAGGCTGTGTTGAAATAATTTGATCACTTCACAATACCGCGGCTGTTTTTCAACCCCGCTATAAGCATTCCATTTTTCAGAGTGTCAAAGTTCTGTTACTTTTACCACAAGAAACTTCATTGGCTGGTTTTCCAGTGTATATATACACGATGACATCACTATGACGTGTGAAAACGCCTCCTTTTTGTATTGGTAACCTTTAGATCTTATTTCAGCGCCCTGAGTGGAAGATTGCAACTGTCGTAAAAAGATAATGTTGGTGATGATACGTTGTTAGATAGTCTGTGTAATAAACCTTTTTCACATTAGAAAAAACACGGATCGTAAAACAAACAATATATGACAATAGTATGTTCATTGTTCATCACAGTGAACCTCAGTTCAGCAGCAGTTATTCAGTCAAAGATTTAAAAATAATGGTTTACGTTAACTTGGTATTGTTCTTATGTGAATTCGTTTAATTGTTTTATAGCAAACTATGTAGAGTGCGTTCACACTGTACTGTTTATTTGACGATTTTCAATCTTAGTAGTAGTACGTGAACCGTACCAAATTCACCGACACTTGAAAAAATAACATTTGAACGACGCTGTTATGAATCTGTTGAACGTGTAGTGCAGGTCATCGTTCTCGCTATACAAATAAACAAATAACGTTAACGAAATGTAATACAAAATGTAAACATATTGATCGAATTCTTTTCATCTGCTACCATTTACTTAAGTTAGTTTGCTAGTCTGTTCGTATATGACTTTTATTTTGTGAAAGGAATAAAGTTGCCGACTTGTTATTACGAATTATTGCCGTTTAATTTATGCCACTTTCGACACATCAAACTTTTTTGCGTGATACGTAAGATAATTGTGTTTAAAAACATATCAACTTTTGAAAGCTAGCTATATATATATATATTATGAGTTTTGTTTTCTATTCATCGTGCGAGAACGTTTAGATATGAGCGCTCCTTCGATGATTTTCGGTATTGACAAGAAATCTGACCGAAGTTTTGGCATTTTCGGATAAGTTAGCAGTTTCTGAAAGTCTGGTAGTGTGTTTATGCAAGCTTTTCTTTATCAACATCTGCTGCTTATGTGTGAACTGAACTCAAGAGCCCTAAAAATATCCACTACGTACACGTATTCATGTGCATTGCATTTCAGTAGGCAAATGTATCTTGACTCGAGTTTTTTGCTTACCTTGTGTTTTAAACACTGTATGCTAAACGGGTACCTCGTGTCAGACTGTTTACGTCCAACACGCTAACGAATTTGTATAATAACATTACTCAAAATAGTTATCACGTATAGTAGGTACATAATATCGATGAGGTTTTGGGTACGTTATACTTCACCGTACAGTAGCCTAAATTAATTTAGGTATGTGAATAATGTTATGACATGTCGTCGAATTCTTTAACACGTGTATACAATCATTAAACAGTTGGTCCGCTGTATTTGTCGTTACAATAACTACCTTCTCGGGTGTTTGCACAACAGGTAACTATATTCTCAGACATTTGTCATTATAATAACTGTCTTCTCACGACTCACGAGAGGGGAAATTGAAAAGAGAATCTATGACGTATCTGAGCGTTGATTGTTAACGCATTTAACGCTATTGTTAAAAAACAAACGTGAAAGTAGTGCCAGTGCAGAATCCTTGCTAATACTACATACAGACTTGCAAGTTATGTAAGTTTACTTATGAAGTGACTTGGTACGCTGTTTGTAATGTAAATTATCTGTTTTTGTTTCATACATTCATTCTGAATGTAGTTAACTGCACCAGGGAAGGGACAGTGGGAGTATTCTTGAGATATCAGTGGAATATAGTTTTAAAATTTGATTTTTTATTTGTGGATTCCAGGCTTTATGTTTTAGATAAAACGTAAGTTCGTTCAGAAAACTTCTCATTTCAATATTAGACCATAACAGAAATATATTTTTAAACGTGTATATTATTCTGTGGATGACTTTCATTAAATAATATTAAAATGTGATCCTTAAATTTGTAATACCCCGTCACTGAACATGCTCGCCCTTTCAACCGTGGGGACGTTATAATGTGATGGTTAATTAAAACCACTATTCGTTGGTAAAAAAGTATCCCAAAAGTTGGCGGTGGGTGGTGTTGGCTAGCTGCCTTTCCTCTATTTTATTACTATTAAATTAGGGCGGGCTAGCGGAGATAGCATTCGAGTAGCTTTTGCGTGAAATTCGAAACAGACATTGTAATTTGTGGTAATTTTGATTTATCTCCATTCTCAGCTGGATAACATGCATATCTGTTTATTGGAAGATTGTCTCTAATCGTTTCTTTTAGTTCTTTTGATTTCATTATTATATTGATAATTGCTCTAAATTAATAATTATTCTTTTCATGTTTTTAGGGTCGCCATACTAAGACCGGACAATTGGCTGCTATTAAAATCATGGATGTTAACGAGGTAAGATTGATAATAATATCTACGTGTATAATGTTCACATCAAATTGTTTGTATGTACGTGCTACCATCAGCTATGAATTTAAATTATGACTTTATAGAAATAAAATAGTTCATATATCATGCATATATTACCGCTCCGGTTCACTGACCTGTGTGAATTAAATCTTCATAGTATTATTGTAAACTTTGGTAGTGAAATGCCATAGAAAATGTGAGAGAATGTTTTATGAAATAAAATTCTGTACTTTTAAACGTGACGGGAAGAACATAAAGAATTCCGAAGTTTATTCGCACAAATTCTTTCGTACGCAGAGTGATAGTTGAGTAACATATTTCTCTGTATTGAACCTGTCTGTAAAGAAGTTGCTTGATGAGTATGCATGTTTTACTTTAATGCTTCTTAGTGTTTTTGAAAGTTATTTACAGAAAATTCTTCGAAGCCAACTTTATTGAATTTTCAAGTCTATATAATATGTTTCTAATATAAGCATGCTTAAAATTTTGACCCATTTCTTCCGAAGATTTCACTGGCGTCTGTAATCAGCAAACTGAGCTTAGATCATGTAATGCCTTTAAAATAGAACGGGGATGGCAGACGGTATCAAGGATTTGGGAGAGTTGTCTATGAAGGAAACAAATAGAATATTCTGGACGTTTGTTTTTCGGTTATCTATGAAACATCGCCTTAAAATTGTGGCTTCAGAGTTCAAAATATTTAAACAAATTTTCTACGTTAGACTTTTTTTTTTAAATATTAAATAACTATTAACGCTTTAAATTAAGGTCTGTAGTCTTATAATAATACTCGTTATACCAAAAGCGTTGGTGTTACTGACTTACGCTGATATTATAAGAGTTTCAATAAGTTCAGTAATGAAAAAGTGAATATCCAATTGAATTACAAGGTCAGTTCGTGAATGATATGGTTCCAGGAACGATGAGGTTCATTTCGATACAAGTTTATTATTTGGCAGATGTAAAAAAAAAAAAAGTCGGTAACTCGTTTTTTTCATTAAAAATGTTAAACCTTTCTATATTTTTATTTATTTATAATTTTTCTCTCGTGATAAGTTAAAAATAAATGTGGCAATGTTCATGGAACTATCGCATTCTGTTTTTAGACAGAATAATATTTGTGTAGCCATAACACATACTTTTATTTTTGGATATCGCATTGTAAAATTCAAAATAGAACATGGCCAGGTGGTTAGGGCGCTCGACTCGCAATCTGAGGGTCGCGGGTTCGAATCCCCGTCCCACCAAACATGCTCGCTCTTTCAGCCGTGGGGGCGTTATAATATGACGGTCAATCCGACTATTCGTTGGTAAGAGAGTATCCCAAGAGTAAATTGCTAAATTAGGGACGGCTAGCGTAGATAGCCCTCGTGTAGCTTTGCGCGAAATTCAAATACAAACAAACAATGAAAATAGAAAATAAAGGAGGAAGAGGTCTCAGAGTACCTGACCCTCCTAGGTCACAAAGACCTAAATTCCTATTAGGAGAGAGAGAAAATAAATTGCAATTTTCAGTCTGTGGTTTAGTCAGCTTTAAGATCAAAATTTGCGTTTGTGAATAGTCTAGTATTTTTTCTTTTGGTGTGTGAGCATGTGTCTTAAACCTAGTCGAGTGTCCAGTCGTTTCTCACCACGTTTAAATCGGTTATTTATAAGCGGAGTTTTTATTTTTTAAACGCAAACTCTTTGATAAATGGAAATAAATAGTTTTGTTAACTCCAGTTTCTTTTATACCTGTTCATCCATTTCTGTGTTGCCACTCTAATTTTTATCCCTGGTAAATCTATGTGATGATTTTTAGAAAAAAAAAATCAATGAACATTATTCGTAGTTTTGTACTGTTGCTGCAGTTTCCTGGGGTTTGAAGACTGAATAGTATTTCGACGTGTTTCCGCCCTTTTGAACGCATATATAAAGCTATCATTTTCACGTTTAATCGTTCATGCATTTTATCCTTAAACCTTACAGTTTCGTAACATAAATAGCGTGTACTGGAAATGAAATTGTATAGACTTTATTTGTCTGGAGTACGTGTGAGATGAGGTCTTCGCATATATGGTTCAAGCAGACGCAGTCAAAAAGAACCAACAACTTCAAGTACGATAACGAGGAACCCACTTTGAGACTAATAATGGCTGGAGACGGCTTGAATGGGTAATGAAGAAAAACTTGAATATAAGTTTAACATAGAAAAGTGTACAAGATCAAATAACTTATTGTGGCACTTTTACTATTTAATCAGCGAGTGGATGTGATAGTTTAGAATGAGGTTCATTTGAAGTTCACTGCTCTCCCCCCCTTTTTAAATAGAATAGCTTACGAAAGTTATAAACCTGCGTTTTTATTTTTCATATTCACGCCTTTGTTATTTTTAAAGATTATATACAGTTTATGTGTGGTCGAATATTGATCATGTATTTCGATTTAGTTTTGTAAAACGTGCACGCGATCACGTTTTGCTTTTACATCTCGCTACTTAACCGTTGAAATGTTGCTATCGTGACAAAAATGCAATCAAGATAATATCTTATAGTAATATGTTTTAATGCTGAACTCGTGGTTCCACGTGCACACTGCGCCTGTGTCACAAATTTTCGAACATAAAATATGGCTAAAAAAAGTGCAGGTGTAATATGATTTGTATCGATCTTTGCAACGAATTTTATAACACAGTTATTTGGACACTTGTTCTTTCTGGTATGTATTATTATAACTTTGCATTGGAAAAAAAGCATCATTAACTAACAAATATGGCTTTGCTTATAAAGAAATTCCAACTTGTATTATAATTTACAAACACACACACACATACACACAGAGATCATAGATAATTCCCACACAAAATGTGAATTACATGTGTGGTTTAAAGAAAGGCATATTTAGTTAGCTATATTTTTTGCTAAGTTAATTTTTAGCTTCGCGTACATAGCTTGCTCTAATCGGAAAGTAATAACTCGTTTCCTTGATATATTTACTATATTGTTTTACTTTTAATACGTTCTGATCTGTGTAGGAAGCTTGCTTTGATCAGAAGATAATATACCTCCCTGTCCCCGAATGCGACAATTAGAAATAAAAAGATTCGGAACGTTAAGAAACTAAGGTACAAACTTCATATTACATTTGGTATGTAACTGATGGAATGGATTTGTGAGGGTTGGGTGATCGATTTTTATGGGGCACCAATTTAGCTAACGGAAGCGGCAAACAATCCTCTCTGTGTAACTAGCCAGATGTTCCACCATCATAACCTTGCTTACATTCTATGGTTGTTTCGTGGACCACGTGGGGGGCTAAGCGTCACTATGGAAACGTTAAGTGTTTAGTACCACTTGGTATTCTAAATGCGGCATGAGACCGGAGCTCTCGATAGAGAAGGGGGGGATGGGGAAAGTCTGCACGTGTTTCCCATTGTGCGATGAACTTTAAAAAGACTTAGTATGGTTGTCTGGAACATTTGTGTGTGTTTGTGAATACCATAGATGTGCATAGAAAACCAAAACATCAGCAGAAGATTTACAGTTTGGTTGTTGTTTGAAACCTGTGAGTAATTACTTCCAAAAATAAAAGAACCGATAATGGATTTATAGATAAATGCAGAATTATATTCATATAGGTTAAAAGGTAGGACTTGTGGACAAAGTCATTCATGAAAAAAAAAAGAAGCATAGAATCACTAATATTGGAGAAATTAACCGAAAACTGCACAAAGAGTCACCAGATATACTTGTGTAATAAACATCCACGTACTTTTGATGTTTCAAACTGCTCATGAGCGTGCGCGTGTATATATATATAAAAGAGCAGGCACCAAAGAGTAATCCACAATATTCTACTATGTATGTATTTATTATAAA